GTTAACAAGAACGTTTTCGTTGGAGCTCACGTTACCGGTTCGTCCATCACGTTTTGCCTCTGTTTTCATTTTCTCTTTCCATAGTACCCTTCCTTTTCTATTTTCTTCTTCATAGGTTGATAACGATACCTTTCAGGTGGTGACGAAATTGGATCTGTGAACGAAAACTTGCTTATCAAACACAAGATCATGCTCCCACCTAATTCATGTGGTACTGTGACATTCGTCGCCCCATCGGGACAGTACACTGTTGAGGTAAAGCAGAATTTTTTTTGTTGTCTAATTTTGCTTCCCATAACGTCTGTTTCAGGACGTTCTCCTGGAGGTTGAATTTGCTGGACGCAAAGAGAAGTTTACCATGCTTCAAATCTGGCCTGTACGTAACCCACGTCCATGCGCAGAAAAGGTATCAATTGATTGGTTTATCTCTATTCTTGCTGTTGTACTATGTAAATGCTCTAGTTGGCCGCCAATAATCCACTTCTTTGTGGACAAAGAGTTCTTGACGCTCTCTTCCCATGTGTTCAAGGAGGAACCACAGCTATCCCTGGTTTGTTTGACTATCGCAGTAGATCAGTTTCATCATATATTTGGCATTTACTCAAAGTGGAACATTTTGAAGGTGCCTTCGGTTGCGGAAAGACTGTGATTTCACAGTCTTTATCCAAATATTCCAACTCTGATGCCATTATTTACGTAGGATGTGGAGAACGTGGAAATGAAATGTCTGAGGTACTTTTTCTTCATCTCTACTTTTATCAGTTATTTTTTATGGAAAATTTTACGTGATTCAGGTACTTCGTGATTTCCCAGAACTTACCATGGAGGTCGATGGGGTAACCACTTCTATTATGAAACGTACCGCTCTTGTGGCCAACACCTCAAACATGCCCGTAGCTGCTCGTGAAGCCTCTATCTACACTGGTATGAAAACACGTATATCCTACTGAATATCAAACATACTATGACAACTCTAGGTATCACCTTGGCTGAGTACTTCCGTGATATGGGTCT